CCCCAAAACCCCAAAACCCCAAAACCCCAAAACCCCAAAATACCAGGTAGAGTTATTTCAAGGATATTAATTCACTTTAATAATTAATAAATACAAATAAATATGATTTCAAAGAGTGCACTTGCTTTCCTTAGAAAGCAATCAAACGCTCAAAACAAGGTTGCTAGCATGACAGTAGCTCACCAGAGAAACTTTGCTGGTGGTGGTCCAAAGAAGCCAGCAATGCCAGCTTCAGAGACTGACTTTGACGTTGTTTTTGTCGGTAAGTTCTTTCCATAGTTGTTAAAGATCTTATTCAGGTGGTATGAACGCTACTGCTCTCCTCAAGTTCATGCAACATGACGGCGTTAACTATAAGATGGCACTCATCACTGAGCAATCAAGATTCATTCTTCCTTAATCATATTTCGCAGTATCACATGGCCATATTGCTGAATTGAAATTAGAGAGTGGTACAGTATCTGCCCAAGTTGAGTAATGGTCCAGATATGATACTTTCGCTAAGGTCAGCTAATTCCTCCCTAACCAGAACAAAGTTAAGCTTTCAAATGGCAGAGAGTACACCTATAAGGCTTTAGTTGTAAACACAGGATTCAAGCATACCTCAGAACATATTGAGGGTCTTCCAGAATTCGAGAAGGATAGAGGCGAAAACAATGTATTTGTTCATGCTATTGATCACAAGGAGAGACTTTAAAGAAACTATTATCATGGCTGGAATCACAATAACGGTGATATGATCTGTTATTCACCAAAGTTCCCATACAAGGGTGAAGGTACTGATTTCTATGCTCTCTATTACGAGCACTTCCTAAGACAAGATATTCTTTAAGGAAGATCAGCCAGAAATGCTAAAATTCAATTCTGGACACCAAACAAGGAAATTTTCAAGTTCCCATATGCAAATGAAGTCGCTCTTGAGGAATGCAGAAAGAGAGGTATTGACGTATACTTCGGATGGGAAATGCTATCAGTCAAGACTAATGAGCATGGATAAAAGATCGCAACTTTCAGATGCACTGACACTGGAAAGACTATTGAAAAAGATTTCTTCTCAGCTGTCATTAATCCACCAAGCAAGCCCCACCAAGAGCTCTTAGATTCAGGCATTGCTAATGGTGAGGGTGTTGTAGATGTTAATCCATATACTCTTCAACACAAGAGATTCGAAAACATCTTCGCCTTCGGAGACTGTATTGGAGTCAACACCACAAGAACAGAATCTGCTGCTATTCATCAAACCCCAATCGTTAAACACAACTTGACCCAATTCATGGAAGGTAAAGAATTGAATGCAATCTATGATGGTTACACTTTCATGCCATTCCTTCTTGGTCACTCATATGCCACCAACTTCCAGCATTATCATGACTACGAGCCTCATGCTCTTAACCACTGGGTTCCCCACTACGGTATCTTCGCAAGATGGTACTTCGGAAGAATGATGAAAAGTCAAATGCAAATGGGTGAGAAATTCTCAAGCTTCAAAAAGAACCACGGTCCTCCATACTATAACTTCAACCCTAGATATCTCCCAGTAGAGCATAACGATTATCTTCAAAGAAGAGGTATCCCAGTCAGTGAGGTCAAAATGTTCGAACCAAAGGTTAGAGTAGCTCACGACGACCATCACCACCACTGATGATCATTAGATATTAACCTTCGACAGGTTATTTTATTTAAAAGATTTAAATAATTCAAACACATATTATCAACTACTCTTATAAATATTAAGTTAAATATACTCATTTTAAATGTCTCAATAATTCTCAATATTCTCATTTTAGTTCTAAATAGCTTCTAGAGATTAATTCTAGCTGAACTGCTATTCATTGAGCAAGGATTCACATGAGTAAAAATCCTAGCTTTAGTTATATATCTCTTCCTATCGAGATAAATCATGATTTACTTCCTGCTATTAGGACTAATATTGCTATGAGTTAGAGCAAAAGCTCTCAAGGAACTCATTGATATTAGAATTTTCAAGGTCTCTCAGTTAAAAGGCTTTTTTATTTTACTCTCTGATATCATCAAATTAAGATATGCATTTCAAGTAATAAATTAGGTGAAGCATTTCCTCATCAGATTTATCATCATAAAATGGAAGGATTGGGATGCCGTTCTCAAGCTAGTAGCCGAATGAATATACTGCATTATCAACAATAACTACATCTTTTAAGTTTCGATTCTTTATTATTCTTAGGTCCTTAATGTAGACACCTTCTTCTGTTTTTATACAAGAATCTCTATAAAGTCGATGCTCAATTAATTCTCTCTTTGGGTCCAGATAATCTAAGACAACATCTGCATAAGATTAATGAGAAGCAGTAAAAACTACTACTTAAAAGTATTTTCTAGCTTCTATTAAGCAGTCCAATGCATATGGTCTCACATTAATACCAGCGTCAGCAATCTCTCCATTTGGGAATTTAACTTCTAGTACGATATCTGGTTTTTATGATTATGGGTCATCTACACAATGAACAAGAGTTTCATCAAGATCAAATATGACTGTCTTTTTTATAGTACTATGTCTAAATTAAGGGAAATACACTCCTTTTTGTTCGATATCAAGTCTATTTGGACTCTTAAGTTATTTTATATACTAAAGCGATTGTAATGTATGAACCAAATGAGACCTATGAAGATCAGCCCCTTTAGCATGAAATTGAGTATTTTCCTCTGCACTAGTATCATTATTAACTTCCTCGGTCAAGTTAGTTGTCTATTTGTATTTAGAGCTGTCTTAATTAGGAACTTTGGTTATGAAATCATTAAGTTTCAAATCTTATTTTGCTAATTCATTTTTCTACGGATTCAAACTTATTGTCACTAACACGTATAAATTATAAAATGGCTTTACATTGCTGGATAATTCTAGGCCAAAGATTATATTCTCCTACTGAAAGACAATTATGAAGTTCTGATTCATCTCTATTTAACTCATCAAAGAAACAACTGCTTTCATCACAAGAGGATTACTAGAGGGCGCTTGTTGAAGGATTTTATGAATATCTTGTCTAAAAAAAGATGAATTTTATATTAATAGTTACTCCAAGATGTACAACGACTTTTTATATTTGATTCAACCTTGCATATGAATACTCCATAATTGAGTCTTTTTTAATGCTACTTTATCTTCTGCTGTTTTAATTGCTTTGACGATTTGCTATTGAACCTCTAAGATCAGGCTTTGGACTTATATCTAAAGAATTACTTTAACTAAATTACATACAAAGTTTAAGATGAGTAAGTGTTGGAAGATTTCTGCATTTTATTACTGACTCATTTTGCTGGCGCTCCTCAACTATGCTAAATTCATCTCCTTCTTAAATATCATCTCTTGCTTTAGAATATTTAAGCATGGCTGATTTTCTTTTTTAGGTCACAATCTTTGATGCCTGCTGTTAAGACTTGTCCCTAGTAGAATTGGCTTACTCAATATTTTCTAAGTTGTATTTTGATACTGAATTCTAATAATTTATGGAACCAATACTGCTTTGCTTCTATGATATAGAACCAACGCTAATTTAATTATACTTTTATCCATTAATTTGAGACTATGATTACTGCATTCTCGTATTATCTTGATTCAATGAGAATATACTCTTTGGGGAAAATGGTTCTTTCTGTTTCAAAATTTGTTTCTTTTTTGGATTTTCCGCAGTCTTAAATTAAGCAATTCCACCACTGAGACCTATAGTCCTTGATTTTTAAAGTTATGGGCCTATTTAAGGTTGTTTAGTGATTTTTTATTGGTGAGCCTGCATGCTTTAAATGTTTTCAAGGATACTAGAATAAAGTTAGTGAGTGCTCTAGGAGGCGACTGGCTATATTTGAGAAGATTTGATTGAGGATTTATGAGTAAATGTAGCTTGAGATCTAGACTATGGACTTCTGTTTTTCTTCATTATTAATTTGATACAATTATTCTTTTTGAATTCAAAATAAACAACTAATTTATCTTTGAGGGGTTTTGGGGTTTTGGGGTTTTGGGG